GATTTTTATTCATTAATATTTTTCTGTAACTTGGGGCGAGGAAATATTTAAGGAAAATTAAGACAAATATATGAATTTTACCAACCAAAAAATAAATTTATTGAAAAAAATAAAGATAAAAACAAACAAATCTATAATCTAAAATTTAGAATGAACTAACAAAACAAAACGGTCAAAACTTTATATAAATTAATTAAAAAATTGGAATTTAAAAACAGCAAATTTTACTTTACCAGCTAATGGTAGAGTCAGACTTTCATTAATCAACACGCCACTTTTGAAAAGATTCGTTGAAATGGAACCGAAGTGGCCACTATAGTCATCACTTCTTTGGGCAATGATGTGCAAATTAGGGTAGTTGTTCTGCAGATCAAACCACAACTTAATAGGGTCCTGATTGTCGTATAAAATATCCTTTTCTAAGTACCTGTTTAATTTAATCATTGACTTCTGAATCAGGTGTACCATTTGGAGAATGTTGCTCTCGAGCTCTCATCAATGTTCCTAAAACTTCCAGTTCGTTTTTCTTTATTTTTTGTACTCCTCTCTGTTTATCTTCATTTTCCTCAGCCTCAATGATTTTTCAGTCGTTTTAAATAGTTATAGTATTACGCATATTTGATTCATTATTCTCTATCGCGGTTCATGTGCTGTTCAGAACAAAGATGGAACGGAACGAGAACTGGAACGAATTCCAGTGGTGGAAAATTCCGTTCCATTCTACTCCGACCTGTAGTCGAAATTGCTTATCCCTAGTCACTACTCACTATTATAACACAAAAAAGGCTGTTTATCTATACACACCTTCCCTCCGGAGTAGCAACTGCTCCAAGCAAATTTAAAAAACATTATGGATGCATTATTTGATAGACTTGATGGAACTGCTGTTTAGCTGAAATATGTATTAATTGGTGGAGAAAACTTAGATGAATTAAAAATTGGCTTGTTTTGGGTGTTAGAAAGGCTTAAAAAATGTGAGTTTGGAAAAATCATTAAAATATTTGGGAGTTAGGATTGTTGCATCCGGTCTGCATTCCATGGATGAAAAGGTTGATACTGTTCTGCGGGCTTCAAGACTCAAAAAAGTTAAGTAATTACAAAGCTTCATCGGTTTGTGATGTTCCTGACAAAATTTATACCAAGATTATCATCAATACTAAGTTGCGAGTAGATCCTTGTCTACTGCAGAAAGGGCTTCCTCTCAATTACACAAAGAAGCAGCTGCTTTGATTTTTTGAGTGAAAAAATTCCATATCTGTTTATATGGAAGGGAATTTATTTTGGTAAATGATAATAAACCTCTATTAGCAATATTTCAACCCATACAAGGAATACCAATGTGTGCAGCAAACAGATTACAAAGGTGGGCATTGATAATGGCCAACTATACTTACAAGATTGAGTGGGTAAGATCCCAGGGAAATATTGCTAATCGGTTGTCACGAGCCAATGCACACGATTGTCAGACCGGATCTCGAGAAGCTGATTTATCTATTAATCATATATTTGGTAGCAATGGAGATCTGCCTTTAGACTTTAAAAATACTGGCAACAACTAGGAAAGATCCGATTTTGATGAAACTCATACTGTATCCAAAAGTGGGCTGGCCAACAGAAGTGGACAAGGAGCTCCAGCCTTTTTCATCACCTTGGGAAGAATTATTTGCAGAGAAGGATATTCTGTTATGGGGTTACAGAGTGGTAATTCCTGAACTTTTAATAAGGGATCAAGACTTGAAAGAGGTTACATATTTCACATTTGGGAATCCTGAAATTAAAATCATTACCCTGTTCATATGTATGGTGACCAAAAATGGTGAGGCTATCGAAAAAATAGTACAAGTATGCCGAGCCTGTAATATTACAAAAGATGATTCAGTGAAGATGTCATAGTACCTTGGCAATTGCCATCCAAGCCCTAGGAGAGGTTGAGGTTGCACATTTATTATTTAGGTCCATTTATTAGGAAATATTATTTATGGTAATCGATAGGCTTCCAAATGGCTTGAGGTTTTCCAACTATTTTTATGTCAACCTCTACCACAGTTAAAATGATGCGAGATTTGATTTGCCCGAAGAATTGGTTTGTGACAATTTCCCGGCATTTGATTCAGAATTATTTACAAAATTTTTGTCTCACAATGGAGTGACATTGAAGCATGGACCACCCTATTCACCAAAAACCAATGGAGCAGCTGAAAATACAGTGCGGACTGTCAAGAAATCATTGAAGATTGAGCTATGCTCCGAAATGTGTTCTGATTTGAGTATTTTACTAAACCGTTTTCTGTTTGACTATCATAACCGCCCACATATTACTACCGACATATACTTCCATCTCCAGCTCAAGCTTTGTTTGGAAGATCATTACGAACAAGACTCGATCTATTGAAATCTCCTTCAACAAATACTAAAGTAAAACAGCAACAACACAAAGAACTGGTGTGCAGAAATAAAGTATAGATAGAGAGGGAGTTACCTACCCACTGCACAAGAAAGGGGACCAATCGGATTGCGACAATTATCGAGGCATAGTGCTCCTCTCATGTGCTTATAAAGTTCTCTTTAACATCTTATTGGAGAGACTAGTTCCTCATGGCGAGAGGGAGATAGGCAAATATCAAGCGGGATTTAGACGAGGGAGGACCAATTATTCTCACTGAGGCTGATGCTGGAGAAATGCTAAGAGTATAGAACAGTTAACCATCAACTCTTCGTTGATTTTAAAGCCGTCTACAATAGTATAACTCGGCCGGAGCTCTATTAGGCAAAGTTGGAAATAAATGTCCCAATTAAACTGATACGTCTCATGAAAATGACTATTTCGGGCTCTAAGTGTGCAGTACGAGTAGGAAGTGACTTCTTGGAAGACTTTCATACTAACTGCGGCAGAGGGATGTTCTAGCCTGTCTTCTCATTAACTTCGCTGCAGAGAAAGCAGTATGTATGTCCAGAATCCAACTCCACGCAACCCTTCTTAACAGTACCATTCAGCTTCTTGGGTACTCTGACAACTTTTATATTGCTGCCAGATCGGAACGTGCATTAAGAGAGTTGTTCTTGGCCATAAAAGATGCAGCAAAGAAACTTGGGCTACACATTAATAAAGCTAAGACCAAGTATATGAGAGATAGAGGAGATAGGCCAGGGACCCGTTCTTTTGTAGCTGGACCATATAATTTCGAAAAGGTAAGCAGCTTTGGCTACCTCGGGTCTGAGGTCAACTCTGAAAACAACATCTCTCGAGAAATCAAAAGGACAGCAATGGCGAGACGGTGCTATTTTGGCCTAGCAAAGCATTTTAGAAGCAGGTTCCTCTCTAACAGGACCAAAAGATTACTCACTACAAAACCTTTGCCCACCCTGTTTTAACTGATAGATCAGAAGAATGGGCCTTTAAGAAGCAAGATGAAAATAGACTTCTGATCTTTGAGAGATCAATCTTAAGAAGGATTTTTGGTCCTGTTAGAGAGGGCGGAATTTGGAGAAAAAGGAGAAATGCCGAACTCACTGGCTCTTTATAAGAATATAGGCTTGGTCAAGTTTATCAAGATAGGACGACTTCGATGGGCCGGGCATGACACACATATAGATGCTTCGACGATGCCCAGAAAGATGCATAAACAACGAAAGGTTGGCAGGCCAAATGTAAGATGGGAGGACTCAGTGACATCAGACACACGGCCTTTACTGAGAGTCCGAAACTGGAGAGTTATTGCAGCTGATTGTATTGACTGGCGAAAGTTTTTGGAGGAGGCCCAGTCTCGGTAACGGGATGTAGCACCATCTATGTATGTATTTATGTAGAGAGGAAGATAAGAGTATTTGAGTGACTATGGAGAACTACAAAACCTGTAAAAAGACTTATAGATTATTTAAGAGTTTGTTTAGTTAAATTGTTGTTTATGTTGAGGGTGGAAAGAACGCAGTATATTAACCTTTTGTTACAAGGTTAAATATTAAATCGATTTAAGTTTATTCAAAATTAAAATAACAACAATCAATTATTTTATGTAATATACAAATGATGAATTTTTATCATTTGGCTATTGGTGATTGTAAGCAAAATTATTAACTTTCCTCATGCAGATAAATATGTGTCAAACAATTTGATACATTAAGTATCCTACAGGTATATATTTAACTTAGTTGAAACGCTAACTTATCTCAGTTTAAAAAAAAATAAGCTTAGGCCACTCTTAAAATAAACGGCTCAATCAAACATAACAAATAAATTAAATTGTACATCATATAGAGTAAATAACATATTGAGTAAATTGTGCATCTATATTCATAATTAAAAATGAATACTAGAACTTTCAACAACTAAGGTCCTAAACTTAATGATAGTCCAAACTGTACAATACAGAAAAAAAATGCTATCATAAATATGAGCCAAATACAGTTAAAATGGAACAACTATACAATGGAGTATATACTTAATGTGAAAGATATCATTATTAATTGAATTTTTTTTGGCCTAGAACCATAATTGTTCAATGTTACAATACTGATAACATAAAACAAAATTAATTAGTTAGAAAATGATGGTTAGAGAAACAAACTAACAATTTTAAAATATATCAATACATCACTGTTTTGAGACAAAATGATTTAAGGGAAAATAAAATATTTAAAAAAATAAATGCTAATATAATTTTGAACATGATGGACACTGTAATATGAAAATAATCTAATATGGTGGAGTAATATTCACACAATGATAGTAGTTACAATAGGTCATACCAGCTCAAAATTACAATGAGCCTATCACCAACTTGAACAATAAAAATAACGGAACAATGCAGTTCATAAAATAACTACATATATTAAAAATTCTAAAAAAAAAAAATTAAGTTTACAATATAAACAATTTCAATCCATCAAATAAAAATATCGTAAAATGAATTACAAAATCTGCCTATCCTAAAATGATAGCCAAAAATACGCTGGTATCTATTTCCAGTGATTCCAAAATAAAAAACCCTTTAAAAACTTACCTTTCGTTAAATCACCACACTATACTGTTAATACGTATAATTAATATCTAACCTTAGGGAAGCTACCTCTAACAAATATTACAATATAAACAAACAGGTTCATTACCAGTGTTGTTACCCTTCACAGAAGTGTTAAAGTAAAACCAGATAATATTTTTCAGGGAAAATTGTACTAATTTTTTTGTAATTCATAATTTTACCATTTAAAAAACGAGTGACAAGGGAAATTAAATAAAAAAAAGGGAAAACTAAAAATTCTTGAACTATCAATTGCTCTCAACATCTCCCCCCCTTTCTGTCAAATTAATTTTTCCGAGGGTATATACGGAAAATTACTTTTATTATAAAAAGATAATTAAACATACATACAGTATCTCCCACAATGTTTCAATATTTTGTTATTTTATCATTTATTGCCAATTCAAATGTATAATTAATAGCATAAAGCCTATTAAAAGCAATGATTTATCTATTTCAATGAGAATAAATTTCAACAATATAATTAATATTCTTAATTGAGGGTTAACATCAAGTCCAAAAAATAATACAGGTTTAGATGAGGACAACGTGTCATATTTATTAATAAAGATATTGGAATACCATACTAATCAACCGTACCAGGTCGTGGCTGGAGCCTAGGCAGGACATTTTACGGGGGGTAACAGCACATCTGGAAAATCCTCCAGCGACCCTTTTACTTACCTACCTAAGGGGTAGTGATGGGGTATGAGAGAGATTTTCCGCCACAGCTCCGACAGTGACAGCTCCGGGAAAATCACTGTGATAAATCAGTGATTTTTTTTCCGGTGATAAGTATACAATGGCTCCTTGGCGAAAGCCTCACTAAGTGTAAACACAGTTTACGTGTTTAAACTTATATTAAAATAAAAAATTGATTTTTTTTCAGTGATAAATTTTATATTAGACGGGAGAAAATGTCTCTGGGATCCCTTTGTTTCTGTATACAGCCCTGCAGAGAATATCTGAATTTATTTAATTTTTATTGAATATTTAATAGTTGACCGTTGAATTATAAAGGAAGGAGATGGGCCGGGGTGGCAGTCATAAATAGGCTAAATAGTTGTAAAACTGGTATATTAAAATCCAACGTTTCGAGCCGACTTTGCAGGTCTTCTTCAGGGCTAGAACGGACAAGATACAAACAGATAGAGAATTGTGGAAGTTACATAATATTCAGAAAAAAGTTATAAACAATGTGAATAAGCTTATTAAAATTATAAACAGTAAGTACATTAAAATATGAACAGAGTAAGCTAAGTAACAAGATCCTAAACTGAAGTAAATAGATGCTAACAATTGTTGTAGTGTAATATATAATAAATGCAAATGAGAATATACTTCTACAGATCTACAGGAGAGATTGAAAGAAAATGAAAAAGGATATAATATGAAATAATAGACATAAAGGAATGTGGAGAAAGAAAAGAAAAAAGAAAACAAAAAAAAATAAATAAATAAGTAAATAAAATTAGTGACTTACAGGTGTGTTCAGCTAGGAGTTTCACTTAGAACAGAAAAACCAGGGTAAGGGCAGGTATTGGGGAAGTTGACTTGTTTGGGTAATGGGGAAAAACCTAGAAAATGTAACTAAAATTTGAAGATATGGATGGATACAAGGAAAAAATATTATATCTATGAAATATTTAATTATGAGGGTTAGGACATGTTCTGATAGTTTGGAGGCGGAAGGGTTCCGGGAAGTTATGGATGTTTTATATTGGGAAATGCTAGTTTTGAGATGGTTTTTAGCAAAAACCCTCCTTCAAAAACTACCAAATGCCCTAACCCCCTCAACAACGCACATGCTCCAAAAATGAGTGACTTACCGTCGTTCCTTTCAGTGAGTTGGAATAGACTATGGCGGCCCCTTCATTATAAAGATTTCCAGTAAGCGCAATACTCCCAAATTGGTTAGCTCTCTTTGTGTGCATGTCCACCAAGGCCATACATCTAGAACTTGTGACGGACCTATCCACTCCTTCATTTATTGCCACATTGGATAGATTTATTGCCAGGCACGGTTTGCCTTATCATATTTATAGTGACTGCGGAACAAATTTCGTTGGAGTATCCAAGAAGTTAAAGGAGCTTTATCAATTTGTTAAGGGCCAGAGCGAACCCATTTCTGATTATTTGGGTAAGACGGGTATAAAGTGGACGTTTACTCCTCCAGCATCTCCTTATTTCGGTGATATTTGGGAAACAGCTATTAAATCTGCTAAGAGACACCTTCTTGCCGTTCTCCAGGATCATGCGTTAACTTATGAGGAATTTTATACTCTTCTTGTACGAGTTGAAGCCGTTCTCAATTCCCATCCTATCTGCAGCATTAGCAGTTAGATTACTCATATTACCTGGATTACCTTACCCCAGGAGACTTTCTTATAGGCCAACCCCTCCTAGCCAGACCAGAACAAGAAGACGCACCTGTGTTTCCTTTGACAATTCGTTGGGAGATGATTTCCAAGACTCTTCGTAATTTTTGGAAGAGGTGGTATAATGAATACTTTCATCATCTGGTGCCTCGCAACAAGTGGTATACTGATAGGGAAAATTTAAAGGAGGGAACCCTTGTAATTCTGCATGAAAAAGATGTTCCACTACAGGAGTCGCGGCTCGCCAGGATAATAGAGACACTTCCAGGGTCCGACAGTGTAGTTAGGGTTGTAAAATTAAGAACTGCAACAGCCACTTTGGTGCGACCAGTGCAGAAGTTAGTGCCTCTCCCTTCTGGAGAAACTTTTTATTGATATGCATATTTTTTGTTTAAATTTAATGAGGGATCATTTTATTTTAACTTAATTGTAAATTATTAGCCTAAATTCTCTGTTTATTGTAAACCAAGCAATTTTCCTCTCGTGTGTACCTTGCCCAGTAATAACAAATCTCTGAGTTTGGTTTTTTTTCATTATTAGATGGATGAATTCGATTGACAGGCGGATCAACACCCAATCACTCTCGGCCTGCGGCATAAGAGATCAAGCTTAACACTCTACAAGGATGGTTGCCACAACCGGAGGGATCAATCTCCAGACTTGTGGGAGGATGAAATACTGATGGAGAGATCAATCTCCTGAATCAGTGTATAAGACTACAAGTGGACGGATCAGCGTCTTACTTGCATGGAGAAAATAGGTATCAGGATATTGTTAAATAAGAAGAGCAGATTAAGATGAACCAAATGCGTATATGAGACCTATACTGACTATCTGCACAAAAGGTCTACACCCTGAAGGAGTGGAGATCCGTAGATCTGATAATTTTTTTTTTTTTTTTTCCAATCCCTCTGAAACAAAACAAATCATGATATATCAGCGTCATATCGGACCAATGCACTAGCGGAACGATACTCTGAATTACCTTGACCGTTTTCTACCTGTGGTATTTGAATGATTTTGGTAGGTTATCACTTCCTGCCCACTTAAGGTCTTGATAAGATGTTTGGAGTTGAGGGTCCTCCGCTCGTTAAGTGAAAAATATATAAAATAAAATAAAAATTAAGCATAAAGATAAAATAAGGAGGGGGGGGGGAGGAATAGGGATATGGATAGGGATGGGGATGGGAGGACTAGCCGTGAGGCGGGTTAAATGATTATGTTGGTGGGGTTTATTGGACTCTTACGGCCTTGCCATCTGGCAGGGAGGGGGGCTGGGGTGATGGATCTGAATAATGGGTTAAAGGATGCGGGGAGGTTGTCGAAGAACTTGATGTCTTCTTGAAATATGTTGTTGCACAAAGTCGAGTTGTAGTTCGTTATGGATGTGTTTCATGTTTCGTCTTTCTAATGTTGTCCCTTTGCAGATCTTCATGAGTATGCTGTTCTGGTATTGTTGCACTTTCTTCAGGGCTGTGGGATATAGGTAGTGTAGGATGGGGGCACCGTGGAGAAGTGAAGGTCTGAGTATGGCTTTATATATGAGTAATTTGAGTCTGAGTGACAGCCCTGGAGAATAGAGTAGGTGGCGGAGTTGATATGTGGTGGATTTTACTGTTTGTATTCTGTGTTGTATGTGCGTTGTGAAAGATAAATGTGATTCGAGTTCTATTCCTAGGTATGTGAGATGTCTTTTTGTTTTTATAGTTTGACCGTTAAGTTTAGGGAGTTTTTCAGTTGTTTTCTTGTATGAGAATGTGATGGCGTCGGTTTTTGCGGGGTTGATGTGGATGTTTATGTTTTTAAGTTGGTCTATGATCAGTTGGGCTGCATTTTGTGCTCGGCGCATTGCGTGTTTAGCTCCCATGCTTGCTGTGTAGATAGCAATATCATCAGCATAAGCAGCTATTTGAATTTTGTCAATTTTGGTCCCAACTATTTGGGCAGTGTAAATATTAAATAGGATAGGTGCCAGAACTGAGCCCTGGGGGACGCCACAAGTAACTGGCCTAGGGGGTGACATATCAGTTTTGACTCGAACTGAGAAGGTCCTGTCACTGAGATAGGAGCAGATAATATCGACTAGTTGTACGGGGAATTGGTGATGCCTGAGTTTATCGATAAGGATGGAGTGGGATACAGAATCAAAAGCCTGTGTGCAGCCAAGGGAGATCATGGCTGTGGCAAGATTTTTATTTAGATTATCAGCTGTTTCGTACTGTAATTTAGCTACGTGATGATAACACCTAACGCCGCGAGAGAACCCAGTTTGTTCAGGAGGTATAATGTCATGTGAATCGCAGTGTTTTCGGATGTGAATGAGGATTAGTTTCTCATATATTTTTGAGATGTGGTCGAGGAGACTGATCGGCCGATAATCTTCCGGGACCGCTCCTCGTTTCCGGGGTTTGAGGAGTGGAACGACAATAGCATGTTTCCACTCCGTTGAGAAATATCTGAGGCGTGAGCATGAGTTAAAAATGTTAAGGAGAAACATTAGGGTTTTTCGGGGTAGTTGTTTGATAAGGACAGAAGGAATATTGTCCTTTCCTGCAGACTTGTTTCCCTTTGTTTTTCTCAAAATTGCAGTCAGGTCTTTATATGTGGAGAATATTGAGTAATTTAGGTTATCCGTGTGGGGATGTGATGGTAAATGGTGTCAGTACGGGCATCGTCT